TTTTTTTTTTTTTTTTTTTTGAAATTAATCGCAAGAGAAGCACGAGCTTTTACGTAACGCCGATCCAGCGACGAGCGCTCGTGACTAATCCCGTTGCGAGATCCACTTGCCGTGTGAGTAAATAAAAATGCATGAGACGCAATATCCTATCCATGGAGCTTGAGATTCATTATCGTGTGGTGTGTCGTGAGTAAATGCCGTATCAGTGACCACCGACAACGTGGCCTTGCCTGGAAACAGGACAGGCTGAGATGAGTAATAGTTATCTTATTCTTCCTGCTGCCGCAGATTCCAGAAGACAGAGTCCGTGTTCAAGACCACGGCTGAGAAGACGACCAGCATCCTCGGCGGCTTTGGCAGCGGACTGTCCATGAAACTCGGCCAGATGCGCAACTCCGACAGTTTTCGTTCCTTGGAGGAACGTGTTGGATCTGCCTACGAGAACATGAAGGTTGTTGCTTGTTGCTAACGATCGGAGGATCCCTCCGTAGCTTTTAGGATCTTTTCTGAACTCTACTGCCCGTTGGATTGTTATTATTATCATTATTTATCATTCGTGTGTTTATTTTCTTTCAAGAATATTTTTATTTTCTATTTTTCTAGAAAAGGCTAGGTTTCATAATTTAGGATGTTTGCATGCTTTGTTGAGAGGGATATGAGAGAAAATTTTCAGAAAAAAGGAATCTTGTTTGAGAGAGAGAGAAAAAAAAAGAGAGAACGAAGATGTCACGTAGAGTCAAAAATTAATCGAAGAACAGCATACATAATAACTCGACAGAAGACCATTCGGCTTGAAAAAAACCACACGCCGAGATAGAGAATAGAGTCAGTGTGCTGCAGAGAATGTCATTCGCTACAAGTGACTCGTTATGTTTCCAGACGAAAGTCGTGCCTTCGAGGTCCAGCTCGATGCAGAGCTTCAACGAGATGCTTCGAGAGACCGAGTCGTTACGCTCGGCGCCGATAGCCACCAGCCCGACCATCCCCGAGGACAAGCTTCTGTCTTAGAGTTGGGTCGCTCGAGTCTACGTCGATTTCTGCCTCTTCTCTGCGTAACATGCATCCCACGATGCCGGCGTGTTTCGCCCTATGCTAACTGTCACTATCACACTTTCCACTGCGTACTGCTATTAATCGGGGCTAATGCGATGTCGTCTACGTAAT